AACACTTATTTCTCACATTGGTGCGATTTGTCATCAAAAATTTCCTCAGTTACCGCCTCAAGAATGACCTTTTTCAATCGCATGATCTCAACTTTCAGTTATCATTCGAAATTTGCACTGTAAACAGATTTCAGATCATCATTCACTACCTCTTGAGAAAGCAAAAATGGTTCAACATAATCCAATCATCGATTATGAAAATGATGAAGAAGAGCCAAGTGAAAAGGGATCCAATGTGATGCACGTGAGAAATATACCGGTAGCTTCGGTTCAAGCACATCCTCCTCACCATACGGATCGATACAACATTCTATTTGATGGGGATAAAGGTGAATGACCAAATTGTCTAGCTTTTAACAGTTTGAATTTTGGTTTGATAGCATTTCAGCAACATTTCAGCGATTTTCGACGTTTGCTATTGTTCTGCCTCAGCAGCTGATCTAATAAGATAATTTCTAGTGTTGAAAACTCATCTTCAACAAATTTTGTTAATATTCTCAGTAAAAGCGAAATGTTTCCAACTCAAGCAGTTATAATAGACGAAGTTTTAGTTGAGACCAAGAGTGCTATAGCATGCATAACTTTCCAGTTCTCACTGATCACATGACCAAACGGATTCGGTCCAGTAGTGTCACCCGAAAACAATTTCTGTTGAAGTTGTTTTTTGATTGATGAGCATAAGATTATTGATGCTTGCAGATTTGATAGCAATCAGTCATGACGATTATATCAATGTGGAATATGAGGGAGATATTGATGAGGACGATGAATGGAATGTTAAAGATCCGAATGAAAAACATAGAGCGCTTGACAAAGCGAAGGAAAATTCAGCGTCAATATCATGCGCATCATTTGTGCTGTCTTCGGTTTTGAGCATTCTTTTGACCAGTGTAATTTTTACGTAATCGGGTTTCTGCTCATTTCTTAATGTGTTTTTCTCATCTTTCTGTGATATTCTCGTCAATCGCGCGAGCAACATGTGAGGTTTGACTGGCTCAATTGCTTGAGCATCGCAGAAGTAAACCTGAAGAGGATGCACTCAGGTTGAACCTTAACCATCAGCTTTGGAGCTAGCCTGAGCTGAAGGTTTCAGTGTCACTCGAAACTTCGCCAGCAATAGTGAAGGAATTCTTACGTTACGGCTGAACTCTTGAGCCGTCAAACTTTACTAGGTGCTCGCCGGTGTTGCCGGATTGAGGCATCCACTTCAGGCTGCTGACGGTTTCAGAAACTCCATCGTCGATGTGTTCTCTAGCGATGACACATCACGCTCATTATTGAATAGAGAAAACCGTGCAGGTCATTCCGAGCTTATGTGATTTTTCTTATGTTTCAGTGTACTCGTATTCTGTCATTGCGAAAAANTTTTTTTTGATCCTTTCAAATCTGTATAAGAATCACTGAATAAACGTGAAATATAAGTCTTTTCTGAAACACAAACATAACCGATTTGCAAGGCACATAAACAGTCATGTCACAGTTCTTCTGGAATTATGGCATAAGTAATCACACGAGACCAGATGATGTACGTATCACAGAAAACAATTCAAACGAACAATGCAGATACTATTTAAAGGTGCCAAAACAAGCGAGTTTTTTAACAAAGGCTTTTCATTGTTATCTTTAGTAAGACTGACCATGACTTCTCACAAATATGCACTCAAATGCACTCATTGTTGTAAGACAAATGTTTGATCCCGGGTCGGTCAGAATTAGTCTCAAATTTAGGTTAGATTTTAAGAATGAGTTCAGTTTCACTGGCGATTTGAATTCCAGCTTTATGGTGAGTTCGCTTGCGATATGATCAAATCGGACATCATGGAAGCATAACCATGAACTCTTCGGAATGTCGAGAACAATGTTAGATCACCTCAAAGCACGCAAAAAAAAACGCTGATTCACTGCAATGAACGAGCTGTTAGGCTTGTATGATGCGCGGCCGTCGAACCGTTGTCTGTCGAGGTGGCGATGGTCCACGAACGATGAATCGTCTCCTTCCGCCAACACGATCACCATATCGTAATTGCTTCCACCATTTTTGGATGATCAAAGCGGCCAAATTGCGCAATTGGTTCGGGAAAAGTGCTCCATTTCGCAGCAAGAAATCAGCAATCTGAAAACGATAGCATTGATAACAATAGAACGAAGAGGCACAGTTTTGACGGATTGATTAAGATTATGATTTTAATATTATATAATATTATGATCAGTATTATATAATAATAACATCACGTTAATAATAATATTAAAGCATTATATAATAAAATAACACTGTGAAAAGGCATGCGATTCTCAAACGTTTACAACCATGAATTCCAGTTTTTGACATCATTTGCCGTCAAAAGTGAGTATTCTAGAGATATTCACCTAGTTTCGATGTCAACCTTCAACTTTGCTTTCATGTTCAGCGTTAATACTGCAAATTTATCTTATTCAAAAATGCATCAAAACAATGCATGTAAGATGATTACTTGTTGATGTCCGTTAATGTGTGCACAACTCAACGGTGTAAGATCTTCGATTTTGGACAGAGCGTTCACGGCAGCTCCATGCTGCAGTAAATGTTTCACACAATCATATTTGCCTCGTTCACACGCGATATGCAATGGAGTCATCTGATCAACATCCTCCTTATAGATTGGACAATCCTACAATTGTGGAGAACTGGTGATTAGAAGTGGACTTTTTTGTGCAGACAACAATTATTGAGTAAAAGGTAGATAGCATTTGCTACATTGAACTTGAAGAAGAATCAATGGGAAGCCATTTTCAAACTGGATTTGGGGTATTCAAATTTCGGAATTAACTCATTTTCTCACGGAAATGCTCTCGTGGATCAAATTTTTAGTTTCAGAAACTTTATTTCGGTTTTCAATTCAAATAATTGCGAAGGGTTTTCGCAAGGGCTGTCACTAAGAATTCATTCCAAATGTCATAAATCACTGATATATCTGATCACAGAATGTTTCGAACTGTAACACACCGACTCGTCGAGAAGCACCTCGACACATGCTGTGAAGCCTCCGAATGCGGCGCAATGCAGTGCGGTTCGACCGAGCTGATCCGTATGGCCAGCTCTGCAGTTCAACTCTGCGATCATCACTTTGAGTGTATGTGCTTGACCGCCTAGGCATGCGTAAAAGATCGGTGTCCTGGAAATTAATCCAGTTTTCCAGTTTCGCAAACATTTACTCTCAATTTCTTCGTCAGTTTTCTCTAGGCATCGCATTGACCTTCTTGCCAGTACTGTATCTCGCATGAGATACCATCAAAAAATTGGTGATCCAATAAGTAAATCTTTTGGATACAACGAATCTGATTGAACTAATCGAATCACCAGGATGACACATGTGAGGTTCTTTGATTGTTTTAAGTTTACTTTGAAAACTGACCTTCCTCTTGAGTCCCTTTGCTCACCATTTGCTCCGATCATAATTAACAACCTCACCACATCGGTGTATCCTTTTCCAGCAGCCAAATGCAACGGAGCTGCGTTTGTGTTATCCACATCCTTAATTTATCACTTTAAAGCAGTGATTCTCCTAGGGTTGAAATTGCCCATTTTGGGTAATTTTGAAGCGTCAGGGAGTAATAGAGAGGATCGGGAAATTAGTATTTTGAGCAGTTGTTATGTTATGATAGAACGCTATTGTGATGGTGCTTTTTGACTCGTAAATGCGATTAGTTGATGGTAATATTCTCCTAAATTCGGAATATGATTAGCTTGTAAGGGCTTAATAGGGTGTTTTAACAGGGTTTTCATTCTTTTCCTTGCTGTTCTAATCGCTCTCATAGCTTTTATCACCAGAAGTGTTCTCTTTGGCTAATTTCTCATTCATTTCACTGAACAGTTAAAGTCAAATTCTCATTCTATCAAATATACTCTATAATCAATCATTTGACAGTCGAACGTTGTTGAGCAATAACATTCGATTGTTGTATTGTTGACTTCGGTTGTCAACACTCGTCGACATATCCAGTAAACAGTATGTGCTACAGAGTGAGAAGTTGATTCGAACAGTGAAGTGAAATGAGACGAAGCGAATGAGAAAAACTCATCAAGAGAACGGTATTCACATGCAATAGCTATGAGAGTGGCAACACGTCTGAAAAGAATGAGAATCCATCAAAATCAGTTTGAAGTGAGCGTGACAATAGAACGGTATTCGCATGTGATAGCTATGAGAGCGAATACAACACGTCATCAAGAGAACGGTATTCACATGCAATAGCTATGAGAGTGAATACAACACGTCCGAAAAGAATGAGAATGCATCTAATTCACTTTCAAGTGAACGTGTCACAGACAATAGCTCTTCATGCAATCATATTCGATTGCATGAAACAAAACGGTGTAAGAAGGCCCGTTGTCGATTACCATGGACGTGCTAATAAAATTGAACGTAACGGTCATCTGAACATAATTTGTGCGATTTCCATATTTATGGAGGGGGGGGGGATAACGGCAGCCTGCTAGATCACCAAAAGGGGTAATGGAGCATTCGAGCGTGAAAACCCTGCTGTAAAAAGATTCTTTGATCGCTCTCGATGAATCTCTGAACAGAAATTCATTTGAAAATCCAGTGAAGAGTTAGCGTCTAACATGGATATTCCATCCTTCTTTAACGAGCAGTTTCACCAGTCGAAGACTCCCAACTTGGGCGGCATGATGCAATACCGTATAGCC